CCGCAGGTCTGAATGTAGTCTGAGAGTAAAGAGATCCGCAGAGAATGTGATAAACCGTCACTGCTCGGAGGAGAACCCAACAGCTGTAAAGTCTTGGACTACCTGAAGCAAAAACTAGCAGCTACAGCACTGCGACTCGAAGGTACAAGAAAAGCACGAACGCCGGAAACAAAATCGAGCATTCGAGACCAATCAGCGAGGCTTTTACAGGAACTTGCAGGCGCGACGGAGGGATACAGATCAGAACAATGTTCAGATTCCTACCTCAGATGCCATCAATACCTTCTGGTCAGGAATTTGGAGCAATCCAATCAATCATTCCACATCTAAATGGTACCGCCCAAGAGAAAGCAAATAATTCACTTTTAGGACCATGCTCGACTGGAAAGTAAGCTTAGATGACGTGGTAAATACTCTAACGAAAATTACCAAACTGGAAGCCCCAGGATCAGATAGCTTCAGAATTATTGGCTAAAAACGTTCACTTCAGCTCACGATCAACTCGCAAAGTGTTTACACACCTCAATCTTAGAGCAACCAGATATGTTGCCAGAGTTCTTAACAATGGGAATAACATATTTAATCCCAAAGTGCGGCGATCACTCGAACGATCCGGCAAAATCCGACCAATCACCGTCTGCCGACTATTTACAAGGTATTGACTGCTATAATTACTGAAAAGATATATTCACACCTAGAGCGGAATACTATACTAGACGAAGAGCAAAAGGTTGCCGAAAAGGGTCTCGAGGCTGTAAAGAGCAACTTGTTATAGCTCTGTCATAACTAATTATGCCAAAAAGAAAAAAATACCCCTGTACATTGCATACATCGGTTATCAGGAAGCGTTTGACAGTATACCTCACTCTTGGCTGTTAGAGGTGCTTGACCTTTATGGGATCGAGTGCCACATCAAACAATTTCTGGCACATGCTATGGCGAATTGGAAGACACGGCTCTATCTCAACACCCAAGATACGCAATTCAGTGCCGGAGAGGTATCCATCAAGAGAGGAATATTTCAAGGAGACTCTTTAAGTCCGCTATGGTTCTGCTTAGCGCTTAGACCGTTAACAACAATGCTAAATAGCCAAAAGAAAGGAATGTTAGGTGGCAATGAAACACGCATTTCACATCTTTGGTACATGGACGACCTCAAACTTTTTGCAGAAACCAAAGAACATCTTCATAAGCTTCTGGACTGTGTAAGTAAATTCAGCACTGACATCAAGATGCTTTGGCTTGACAAGTGCAAGATCAGTTGCATGGTAAAAGGCCAGTGGAGTAAACATTCAGGATGAGCCGAACCAAGTGCAAGGGAAAATTGAAGGAATGCAGCAATGAACAGTATAAATACTTAGGCTATCTACAAGCGCCGGCATAGACCAGAAAGCTGCAAAAGAAAAGGCAATGGAGCACTATAGAACACGTTTGAGGCGGTGCTGAAAACAAGTCTGTCAGCTCGTAATACAGCACTTGCTGTCAGCACCTACGCCACTTCGGTCCTTACCTATACGTTTGGATACTGAACTGGACGGATACAGAACTGAACGCACTTAATGGGAAACCAGAAAAGAATTCCGTAAACACCGGGGACACCACCCACATAGTTCCATAGAGCGGTTCCATCTACCACGAAGTGAGGGTGGCAGAGGAATACCTTGCATACCTACACTACATCACCGCCAAGTGGACAATCTACGCCAGTACTTCCTCCAAAGAGCCACATCCAGCAGATGCATCAAGCAATAACACAGACGGATAAAAAGTGACACCACTAAACCTTTCAGAAAAATCTTTCGACCTGAGGCAAAGATAACCCCAATGCAGGATCTGGTTCGCCAATGGAAAGCCAAACCACTACATGGTCGTATAGGAGCCGCATAGAAGACAACGCCATTGACACGAAGGCTTCCCAAGGATGGTTGCAGTCAGGTAATCTGTTCCTGGAGACGGAGGGCTTCATAGCCTCCATCCAGGATCAGGTAGTCCCAACAAAGTTGTACCGAAAGCGTATAATGCATGAGAACGTTGACGATATCAGATGCCGCATATGTGGGGAAAAAGATGAGCACATAGATCATATTGTAGCAGGGTGCTCTCCCTTAGCTCCTAAACAATATCTTGAAAGGCACAATGATGTGGCCAAAATACTTTATCAAGCTTTGGCTAAAAGCATCTAGAAACTGGTACAACAGCCCTACTATAATACACGCCCCACCTGTGATAGAAACGGAGACCTCTAGGCTGTACTGGAACCGTAAAATCATAACTGACAGGCCATCCCCAACAATATTCCTGACATAGTGCTCACACTAAAAGAAGAAAGAACGACGTTTATAATAGACATAGCTGTGCCTCTTCCTACTAATATCCAAACCACCCATGCGGAAAAAATCAATAAGTATTTGCCACTCTCCGACGAAATCAAACGCAGTGGGAAATGGGCAATGTGTCTATAATACCAGTTATATAGGAGCTACTGGAGAGATACCAAGGAGACTACACAAGAGTCTGGAAAAGCTACGCTCATCCAAAAATATACTTGCAACTGCAAAAAGCTGCACTGCTGGGAACATGTAGGACAGTACGTAGGTTTTTAGGAGAGAGAACCGATACGGTGAAAGACCGCTGCAGATCTATTCCTTCCTTACTTTGGCTAACCGCCTGAGGGAATATTAATACCTTCGACAGAGGAGTAAAATAGTATAAAATGAATAATAATGAAGGACCTACTGAGCCATACTATCGCTACAAAGCCCCTCCCAGTTAAAGAGACTGGGTCCGACAAAATGTATTGGAACAGGAAAATAATCACAGACCGCACAATACAAATAACATCCCTGACATAGTACTAACGTTAAAAGAGCAAAAGATAACATACATAGATATCGCGGTTCCGCTCCTGTCAACCTTCAAGGTACCTACTCAGAAAAATCAACAAGTATCTACCACTGTCAGAAAAATAAAGCGGATGTGGGGAATGAATACAGTTACGATTGTACCGATAGTTATTGGCGCAACAGGTGAGGTCCTAAGAAGTTACACACAAGTCTTGAAAAGTTAGACCTTGACCAACATGTTTACAAAAAATTCAGAAAGTCGCTTTACTGGGGACATGCAGAACAGTCCGTAGGGTCTGGCAGGCGAAAACTCGACATTGTAACCTGCAAAATTGGTAGTTGCCTTCAAAATGCTTACAATCCTCTGGTGCAAACCTGGATTAAGCATATCAAACCCTCTCAGAGGAGATGATTCAATGAACAATAATGATAGTTTAATAATAATACAATAAAATAATAATAATAAATAATAGTTATAATAAGAATAATAATTATATATTAATAATAATCATAATCATCATAATAATAAATAATAATACTAATAATAATTGATATAATATATAATAATAATAATAATACAATAATAATCATAATAACATAAGAATAATAATAACTATAATTATAATATATAATAATTACAATAATAATAATAATCATAATAATATTAACAATCATAATAGTAATATATTATAATTATAATAATAATATATATTATAATAATAATAATAATATAATAATATATAAATATTAAATAAAAAAAATATAATAATATTATATAATATAAAATTATTTAATAATAATAATAATATTATAATAATATAATAATAATATTATAATAACAATGTAATTATAATAATAATATAATATTATAATAATAATAATATATAATTATAATAATAATAACCCCGCAGGGGGTATCTACTTTTGAAGCTGGATCTTTGATCCGGTTTCAAGGGAAGATACATGGGGAGCGTCGCCCCCACCGGCCCCAGGCAGGGAGTTAGTTCGGGGTTGGTAGTCTTATTCATTCTGCAAACCCTGGGCTTTTCCTTCCCCCTTTCTCCCATTCCTTCCCTTTTATTATTATCCTGTGGCAGCTGTCCGCTGCCCTCACGACTTTCCTTGTCCTTTCCTTACTCCATGCGTTGAGGCGGCGCGTGGGGCTTCCTCTTAGCCTCCCGGGTGTTTGTGCCGTGCCCGGCGACCCGTAAGCTGGCCAATGGAATCCTGGGTGGTTGAGCCTACCAGTCAGGGGGGCAACACGCCACTTTGGTCCGGCGGTCAGTCTAGAAGGGCGGCCGCGCCTAGCCCAGCGTCGGTCAATCGGCTGTGCCATCCCGTCAGAGGGACTGGCTGGGCGAGCCTTCGCATTGCGAAGAAAGCAGGACCGGTGTGATTATTCTCTACCCTTGGCCATGCCGGACCGGCAATGCGAAGACTATACTTTCCATAAGGGTAACCCCCTTCAGCAGCCCTGGTGTACCATGTCCCGAACTATGTTTGCAGGCAATGGCATCCCCAATGAGGACTCCGTGGCGGGTGGGGAGCTGGGAAGGTGAAGCATTTTGAAATTCGCATGGATGAAATACAAACCAAAAACCCACCCAGAAATGGGAAAGCTACCCGCGCAAGCGGCCACGGCCAGCCAGAGAAAAGGAGGGAACCATCCCCGGTTTCGGTGGTCGAACGGATTGATGGGGGTAACTTTGATAAAGTAAGCCCCTTTGTTGTGTCAAGAACATTATTTGGAATTGCTGGGAACCTGAAATTAATAAAGAAAATCAAATCTGGGCTACTGTTGGAAACCAGTACCGCAACCCAGGCAAAACAGACTTTTGCAAACACAAAGAGTTGGAGATGACAATGTTGTAGTTAAAGCGCATTCCACGCTTAATTACTCCAAAGGAATTATTACTTTCGATCTTTTGAACTCCACTTTGGAGGAAATATTGGACGGCCTGAAAACAGAAGGAGTTTATTGACTTAAAACGTATGATGCTAGAAGAGGTGAGGAACTTATAGAACAACACCAAATCTCATTCTCACTTTTGATAGACCCAATCTACCTAATAAATTAAAGCTGCCTTGATGTTCGCCCTTAGTAACCCAAGCCCTTTGCGGTGTTTCAAATGCCAGAAATTTGGTCATACATCCCAGAAATGTCCATAATACCGAAATCGTGTACTTGTGTCAACCCAATCACCCAGGAGAGCCGTGCAAGTGAACAGAAGAAATGTATCAACTGTGAAGGACAGCATGCTGCTGATTCTAGAGAATGTCCGCGGATGAAGGAAGAAGTTGCCATCCAAAGAGTGAGGGACGCTAGAAAAATTAGTTATCTGGAGGCAAAAAGGAAAGTAATTAGCTCATCTCCCCGGGTGTCATACGCTCAAGTTAACCGCTACCCCCCAAAGTGCTACAGTTAATAAACTTGTTGAAGAACCTTCTTCCTCTGCTTCAAAAAACGATAGAAACACAGATTAAACAAACCTTTGATAAATTTGTAAATTAGACCAGTACGGACATTGACACCTTTAAATCTACCTCCTCCTAACCAATACCTATCGGATACGTCTACTCAACCATCTCTTTCAGAAAAGAGGAAACGTACTGTTATCCAAAAGGATAATGCGGATGATCCCGCAGACGATACTGACGAAAGATTCTCGTCACAAGCCAGCGGAAACATCCTCACTTGCTAAGAAAAAAAAGGATGGCCGAAGGGAAAACCCAGAAAGCCTCCAGATGATAAGACGATTAGTTCCGATGTAATTGATCTCAACTAGCATTACGTAACGATGACTTCTGTGATATTACTTTGCAAATGCATTTTTATCCATATTTTTTATACATAGTATATTTATATCTTTTTATACTCATATATATATATATATATACACCTTTTACTTATAGTTACACTTATTTTTTCACACAATGTGTTCTATAGTGCAATGGAATATTAATGGATATAAAAACGCACCACCCAGAATTGAAATCACTTCTGTTAAATGAGGCACCAATTTGTGCATAGCCTTCAAGAAACGCATCTAAGCAGAGTCAGACAGCTATAAACCTACGTGGATATACTTGTTACAGGAAAATGGCATTAGGAATATTCGTGCCAAAGGCGGCGTAGCGACCCTTATAAAGAAGATATCCCATCTAATGAAATCATGGTTGACTCACAATTGCAAGCAATCGTAGTACAAATCTTCCAGCCAGTTAAACTAACTATATGCCAACATCTATCTCCCAGACTTCAGCTGGGAATCAAGACAAATGCGGCAACTTTTTTTTCAGTTGCCTACACCTTGTGTCATACTGGGCGACTTCAACGCCCATAACCCATTATGGGGATCAGAGAAACTTGTATATGCGAGGCCCGCCTTATAGAAGGATATCATCAACGAATATAACCTGGTGGTTTTGAACTCAGGATCAGGTACCTTCCTTAATATCCGCTCTCTTAAACTTAGCGCTATAGATCTAACAGTTTGCAGTCCTGAAATTGCACATCTGTTTACTTGGGAAACAATGGACGATCAATTCTCAGATCATCTGCCTATTAGAATAAAATGTGCGACCCGATGTTCAAACTTCTATTCCTCCCCAAAATGGCAAATTAAAAAGGCAAATTGGAGTAAGTTCCAAGAAAACATCAAAGCCCTTGAGTTTAAAGAATCTGTCGAAGAATCTGTGCAACAGCTCACCGAAAATATCTTGGACGCTGCTAAAGTGAGTATCCCTGTTTCAGGTTATACCTCTCCCATTAATATAAAGCCCAGAGTGTCTTGGTGGAATGATAGATTAGAAAGAGCATTGAAAGAAAAACACCATGCACTTAACATATTTAAAAGATACCCTACACAAGAAAATCTTATACGCTTCAAAAATGTAGAGCTAATGCGAGGAAAATTTTACTCAACAGCAAAAAAACATCGTGGAAAAAATTATGTTTCCTCAATAACCTCTGAGACCCCGACTTCAGAAATTTGGTCAAAGATAAGAGCTATAAGTGGAAGATCATTAAATCTACCAAGTTCTATTCTCATCGGTAATAACCAAGAAATATCCGAAAAGAACGAAATCTTGAATACTTTGGCACAACGATTTCAAATAAATAGTGGGACTGAAAGATATGCTGACAACTTCATCCCACAAAAAATGAAGCAGAAGAAGTGGGAATTGACTTCGACGAGGAAAATATATCTGAATATAACCTTTCCTGTAACTTTGGATGAACTGGAGTACGCCACTCGCTGAGGTCAAAAGCTCTTCACCTGGTCCAGATACTATGCACTATGAAATGATACAACACTTACCTGTAAGTGAAAAACAAAACTACTAGAACTATATAACAAAATATTGATAGAAGGTACTTACCCAAAACAGTGGCAAAACGCAATCATCATTCCCTATCCCGAAAGCTGGGTAAAGACAGTAAGGATCCCATAACTACCGCCCCATATCTCTAACATGCTGCCCAAGTAAAATACTAGAAAAAAATGTTAAACTTAAGGCTTATTTGGTACCATAGAGAAACATGGATTATTGTCAAAATATCAATGGGTTTTTTCGTAGGTATAGATCAACAACAGATCAGCTAGTCTATCTGGAAGCAGCCATTCAAAAAAGCTTTGCTAAAAGGCAACATACAGTAGCAGTATCATTTGACATTGAAAAAGCATATGACACTACATGGCGGTTTGGCGTACTGAAAAACACTGCATGAATGGGGAATAAGAGGATACATACTACGTTTCATTGAAGGCTTCCTAGAACACAGGTATTTTAAAGTACGTATTGGAAAAGAACTTTCAGCATCATACAGACAAGAGAACGGTATTCCCAAGGTTCAACTCTAAGCGTGACCCTTTTCTTGTGGCTATAAATAAGCTAATCGAAAAAGTGCCAATAGAAGTCGGAAATTGTATATACGTTGACGACTTACAATAATTTCTTACTGCAGACAAAATGGAAGATATAGTAGGTACTTTGCAGGACATCCATAAATACATTAGCTTACGAGGTCCAAAAAAATGGGTTTCTCCTTCTCTCCACAGAAAATCAGCATGCATACATTTCTGCAGGCTAAGGAAGGACATCAGACCCACCCAGCTCTGACTTTGAAAGGCACACCAATAGCTACACAGACACAATATAAAACATTATTAGGCATTACCTGGATGATAAATATACTGAAGAATCAGATAGAGGAACTCGTAATCAAAAGTAAAAAGGCAATAAACTATTATTAAATGTTCTCTCACGCATCAGTTGGGGAGCAGACAGGATGGTGTTGCTCTCCATTATATAATCAATAGTCATGTCCAAGGTGAGGATGAGAGCAATAGTCTACTCAGCAGCAAGAACAATCCATTCTAAGTAGATTAGAGAGATACACAAGGAGGGTATACGGTTATGCATTGGTGCCTTCCGGACATCACCGAATGCGTCCGTTTTTTGTGAATCAGGCATACCTCCCTTAAGCTACAGAATACAGCAGCTGCTACTGAACTATAGCGTAAAAATATGGGCACAACCCCAGCACCCTAACCACAATATATTTTGAGGAAGAAGAAATTTCAATTTATCGGTCTAGACCATCCATCACAAAGCCCGCAGGTGCCCGCATCCATAAGCTACTCGAGGATTTAGAAACTCAGATGCCCCCAACCTATAGTCTTAAATACATAGATTGCCCTGTATGGAGGCTGTCACTCCCAGAAGTTAACTTCGAATGCGCCAAATACAAAAAAGGCCACACCAATCCTACATTTTATAAACAGACATTTCTTGATATAATTGGTAAATACCAAAACGTAAGGAGAATAATTTATGCGGATGGGTCTAAAACCGAAGGGGGCATAGGATGTGCATTAACAACTACGGAGATAACCCGCAAATGGCGCCTAAGTCCATATGGCCTCAATTTTCTCAGCGGAATTATACGCAATACTTCAATCCCTAAAATTGATTGATGATGAGGAACAGGGTCTTATACATAATCTGCAGTGACTCTTTGAGCTCACTGCAAACTATTTCTGACAAATTCAGTAAAAACCCCTTAGTTCAAGAGATTCTCTTGACCACCTACCAGCTCCACAGAAAGAACTCACAAGGTCATATATGTTGTGGAACGCCAGCACACGTAGGAATCCATGGAAATGAAATAGCAGATACAGGCTGCCAAGGAAGCCACAATGGAAGAATACCTCAACATACCAGTCGTTGCCTGAAAGACGTGGAAAAAATTCATGAGGTATGCCTACTTAATGAATGGCAGCAAAGAATGGAACTCAACAAACCATTTTTTGAAGACGATCAAGCCGAACGTAACAAAATGGAATCTTCCCCATCTGACTCGTAGAGAGCAGGTCGTAATTACGCGAATGAGAATAGGTCACACAATTCTTACACATTCCCACATACTTTTAGGTAATCCACCACCAAGGTGTGAGACGTGTAATGAATTGCTTACTTGGAAGCATATACTGATCGAGTGCCCATCATACATAGCTGCTAGAAGAGCACACAACATAGCTGGTGATTTAAAAGGTTGTTTATCCTCTAATGCCAACGTAGGAGATACATTGAATTTCCTTAAATCTACCAAGCTTTTCCGTAAAGTATAACGTTATTAAATAAGATACTACTATGTAGAAATATATTAGATAGCTGTAGGTCTATGATAGATAAGGAAGCACTGGTGTCGGATAAGTAAGTAAATACAGGGTACCCACGCGTATGTGGGTATTCTTATTTACATTTTTTTTTCTGTGTTTGTCTGTAATAAGTTAATTTTATGTTGTTCTTCTTTTTTTATGTATTCAAAAAATCTGAGCTACATCACATAACATCCGAATCACCCAGATTTACCCCTGTGGTGAATGTGGCAATTGACCATAGGGCAGGAGGAAAGCGGCTAATGGCCTTAGCAGTCGATGCCGCTGGGGCTTAAAAAAAAAAAAAAAAAAAAAATAAAATATAGAAAATAAGAAGAATATAATAATAAAATAATATTATAATAAATAAAATTATTAATAGTAATAATAGTTATATAATAATAATAATAATAATGAGTTATAATAAATATAAGAATTATAACAATCATAATAATAATAATAATAATAATTTAATAATAATAATCAAAATTATAATTATCATAATAATAATAATCATAATAATAATAACTATAATTTAATAATAATTATATAATAATAATAATCATAATAATAATTATAACGATCTTAATAATAATAATAGTTATAATAATAATAGTAATCATAATAATAATAATAATATAATAATAATAACTCTAATTTAATAATCATAAATGGGTCTGGCCGGTAAGGGGACTGCCGCCAGCAGTTTCAAACCCGCTACCGTAACGACGTAGACGGTACAGCCAGCAGCGCAACGTCTGGCCTTAACCCAACAGTTAAGCTACTGATATTAACACCGAAGGATAGTCAGTACGGCCAGCACGCCTTCCATTTATCCATGCGTGGTTTTTTGTCTCTCTTCCGCGCCTGAGTTTCAACATTTTTAGGTAAACAATTACACCTACTTATAAAAAGAGAACAAAATTACCCAGAAATGGAGAAGGAACAAAATGAAGCCTCGGAATGTAACGACGTAATCGGGACTCGTCGCTATGCGACGAGGTCCGCGTCCGGCAGGGAGCGTAGGGGAAGGTCGCACCCGGTCGTCATCCAGCGAAATCCCCCCAACATCACCACATATACAAATACTTCACTGAATGACCTAACACAACACCACCAAGCGGTCAATGCTGGTAATAATGTTGCTGTGGACGCATCGCCCCAGCCCATGTTACCAGCCCATAGTAGACGGCAGAGAACCACTTGGACGACAGAAATGAATGAGTACGTGGTTCGCTGCTACTATAGAATTACCAAATTGCAAACTTCACAGGAACCTTATGGTGCTGAATTGCATATAATTAGTGACAGAAAAATTTCCCCAGTTAAGACAAGACACTGCAGAACATCCTAGACCAGCGCAGATCTATATTGTGAACAGCAGATTGCCAGCGGAGAGAATAGATACAATTAGGCATGAGTAGCAACCGAATTGGGCATGGTAAATGATGCACAGCAGAGTCAAGAGCAAGCAAATGACGCTCAGACTGAAACGCCAAGCTATTCGCCATCAGTGCTGGAGGAGGAATATAGAGCCATCTAATGAGCTATGACGGTATAGATCCGACAAAAAAGCCTCGGCTACCCAAACTATTTTGCAACCCAACGGCAGCTAAAACCTACGTGAAATGAACAGAATTATCGCTGCTGATATTGCGACCAAACAGATTTTAAGGACCTACACGCCATGATCTATGCTGGGGCGTTCGCGGTTCTAAAGCTAAACGGTCAGAGACCTACAGATGTTACAAGTCGGAACGGAACTAAAAGGCAGCCAGCTTGGGAAAGGAGGCTAAGCAAGAACATAGATAATATCAGGAGCGATATAGCTATCCTAACGCAGTACCAAAAACCGACATACAGCCAAAGAGTGAAAAAGAAAGGGGACACAATAATGCGACGATCATCGAAGAAAACCCAACCATAGTCGAAGTTTTGGACCTTCTAAAGCAGAGACTATTAGCCTTATCTCAAAGAGTGAGAGATATAAGAAGAGCAGCCAACGTCGTAAACAAAACATCCTATTTCATAGAAATCAGAGAGCATTTTATAAATCTGTGGGCAAGAATCAGATCGTACACTACAAGGAAAAACATCATTTCCTAACAGAAGACATAAGACACTTCTGGAGCGGTATATGGAGCAACCCCAGAGAACACAGAACAGCGCATTGGTATCAGCAAGAAGGCTAGAACTTCCATACAAGCAATGCTGTCTTGGACCATAACTAAGGATGATGTAGTGAAAGCAATAGGTAGGATTCCAATTGGAGAGCTCCAGGGCCAGATGGTGTTCACAATTACTGGATAAAGGCATTTACTTCCACCCACCAACAACTTGCGAAATGCTACTCAACATTCCTCGAGAGGCCGGAAACTATCCCAGAATTTCTAACAACAGGAGTTACATACCTGATCCCAAAACTGAACAATATACTGCTGATCCCGCAAAATACAGGCCAATTACTTGCCTTTCTACAGCGTATAAACTCCTTACTGCTATATTGGCTGACAAAGTACATAATCATTGGAACGTAACAACTTATTGGATGAGGAACAGAAGGGATGTCGGAAGGGCTCAAGAGGATGTAAAGAACAACTGATAATCGATGAAATAATAACGGGTAGTGCCAGAAAAAAGAAGTCGCCCTTGTTCACTGCATACATCGATTATCAGAAAGCATTTGATAGTATTCCACATTCATGGTTAACGGAAGTGCTACACCTTTATGGCATAGAAAACCATATCGTGAAAACTATTGACCTATGCAATGTCCAAATGGAAAACGCGTCTCTGTCTTAACACCCCAGACTCGCAGATAGATGCTGGAGAAGTCAGTAAACGAGGGATCTTTCAGGGCGACTCTCTAAGCCCGCTATGGTTTTGCCTAGCTTTACGCCCACTAACATCGCTGTTAAACAGTCAAGAAAAAGGCGTAAAGATTGCCGAGGATGGTACACAACTATCTTCTTTGGTTATGGATGATCTGAAATTATTTGCAGAGAGAGGATCACCTACATGCGCTGTTAGATTGTGTGAGCAGATTTAGCAAAGATGTGCAAATGACGTTTGGTTTAGATAAATGCCGCATAAGTTGCATGACTAAAGGTAAGTGGACAGAGCATGAAGGGTATAAAGTAAGAGGGTCGCAAGGAGAGATCATCAATATGCAAAGGGATGAACGCTACAAATACTTAGGCTACCTCCAGGCCCCAGACATAGACCAAAAACGTCGAAGCAAAGATCTACCGACGAATACTTGAGAGATTAAGGATCTTCTTAAATCAGAATTGTCTGCTATAATACGTCTGTTGCAGTGAACGCCTACGCAGCGTCAACGCTTACCTACACCTTCGGTATACTCAAATGGACTGATACTGAGCTGAAAGCCCCTATATAAGTACCAGGAAAGAATTCCGTCGGTATAGGGCGCATCATCCTAAAAGTGCAATAGAGCGCTTCCACTTAGCACGGCGCGAAGGAGGAAGAGGAATCCCCAGTATGGTGTCCAGACATTACCAGCAAATTGATAATCTAAGGACATACTTCTTGGAAAGGCGAGTAGTAGCAGAATACATCAGGCACTAGCCAACAGAGATAAGGGCATTACCCACTGAACCTAGCCAACCTAGCTCTCAATCCATCCGCGATGGTGTCATCACCCCCCGAACTGATCGAGAAGTGGAAATCCAAGCCACTACATGGACGCTATAGAACGCGAATTGAAGACCAGCAGCAGTAGACACCAAAGCATCCCAAGAGTGGGTGCGTTCCAGTAATCTGTTCGTGGAAACAGAGGGGTTTGTGATGGCTATTCAAGACCAAGTGCTGCCTACGAAAGTCTACAGAAAGCGAATAATGGGAGAAAATATAGACAATATCAAATGTAGAATCTGTGGAGGTAAAGACGAGAACCTAGACCACATTATCGCAAGCTGTTCCACACTCGCCCCAAAACAGTATCTAGAAAGACATAACGACGTGGCAAAAATAATCTACTTGGAACTGGTCAAGCGCTATCTCAATGAAGGACCTACTGAGCCATACTATCGCTACACGCCCCTCCCAGTTAAAGGACTGGGTCACACAAAATGTATTGGAACAGGAAAATAATCACAGACCGCACAATACCAAACAACATCCCTGACATAGTGCTAACGTTAAAAGAGCAAAAGATAACATACATTATAGATATCGCGGTTCCGCTCCCTGTCAACCTTCAAAGTACCTACTCAAAAAAATCAACAAGTATCTACCACTGTCAGAAATAAAGCGGATGTGGGGAATGATACAGTTACGATTGTACCGATAGTTATTGGCGCAACAGGTGAGGTCCTTAGAAGTTACACACAAGTCTTGAAAAGTTAGACCTTGACCAACATGTTTACAAAAAAATTCAGAAAGCCGCTCTACTGGGGACATGCAGAACAGTCCGTAGGGTCCTGGCAGGCGAAAACTCGACATTGTAACGTGCAAAATTGGTAGTTGCCTTCAAAATGCTTACATCCTCTGGTGCAAACCTGGATTAAGCATATCAAACCCTCCAGAGGAGATGATTGAATGAACAAATAATAATAATAATAATATAATAATCATAATAATAATAGTTATAATAATAATAGTATATTATTAATAATAATAATAATATATATAATATAATAATAATAACAATATAATAATAATAATATATATAATAATAATAATAATATAATATATATATATAATAATAATAATATAATAATAATATATATAATAATAATAATACCCCGCAGGGGGTATCTACTTTTGAAGCTGGATCTTTGATCCGGTTTCAAGGGAAGATACATGGGGAGCGTCGCCCCCACGGCCCCAGGCAGGGAGTTCGGGGTTTGGTAGTCTTATTCATTCTGCCAAACCCTGGGCTTTTCCTTCCCCCTTTCTCCCATCCTTCTCCTTTCATTATATCCTGTGCAGCTGTCCGCTGCCCTCCCGACTTTCCTTGTCCTTTCCTTACCCCATGCGTTGAGGCGGCGCGTGGGGCTTCCTCTTAGCCTCCCGGGTGTTTGTGCCGTGCCCGGCGACCCGTAAGCTGGCCAATGGAATCCTGGTGGTTGAGCCCTACCAGTCAGGGGGGCAACACGCCACTTTGGTCCGGCGGTCAGTCTAGAAGGGCGGCCGCGCCTAGCCCAGCGTCGGTCAATCGGCTGTGCCATCCCGTCAGAGGGCTGGTTGGGCGAGCCTCCACAGGTAGTAAGCCAGACGGGAATAGTTCGCTATGCTCGATGTATGGTGGAGCTACCTGTGGGGACTATACCTCCTTTTCCTAGGATTAACGGTATCCCTGGGGTTATGTCCTAGCGGAAGGCGATTATGGGCATAACCTCCCATTGAGGCTCCGTGGAGGGTGGGGAGCCGGGGAGGTGAAGACAAACACAATACTATGGGAGACAAAGTAAAAACAAAAGGTGCGCCTACCTCCTCAAATGTAGGCAAAAACAGCGAAGGTGGAGCTACATGCAGAGCTACCACTGGACACAGTAATATTACCAAGGGGTCGGCTGGTCCTACCCCCCGATTCCTGGTAATAAAGAGAATAGATGGCGATAATTTCATGAAAGTAAGTCCATTTCTGATATCAAAGACGTTATGCGGCTTGATTGGAGAATCCAATTCTGTGAAGAAAATTAAAGCTGGGCTGCTAGTTGAAACAAGAACAGATGGTCAAACATATCGATTGTTGAAGGTAGAAAGTTTTGCTAGTTTTCCTGTTACCGTTGAACCACATGCCTCTCTGAATTCTAGCAGAGGCGTAATCTACTGCAGGGATTTATTAAACTGTTCCGAAGCTGAAATTATGGATGAGCTAAAATCTGAAGGAGTAATAAAGGTACAACGTATAAAAGTAAAGAAGGATAATGAACTACAAGACACTCCAGGCCACATAATTACATTCAATTCTCCGAACATACCACAGAGACTTAGTTGCGCGATGTACAAACTACCTGTTCGTCAATATATCCCACCCCCTGTACGCTGTTTCAAATGTCAACGGTACGGCCATACCTCGATATCATGCCAAGAGGAACAAATCTGCATTTGCGGTAAGAAAATACACACTGGAAAATCTTGTGATCAGCCCATAAAGTGTGTGAACTGCAATGGTCCTCACGCAGCAAACTCCAAATTATGTCCAAGGTATAAGACAGAATCAGCTATACAGAAAGTTATTACTATCGAGAAAATGAGTTATGCTGAAGCTAGAAGGAAGGTAGTAATCCCTACCCCGCAAGCAAATTTATCATATGCACAAGCATCTCAGAAGCGCCCAGACGATGAAATAATAGAGAAGATTATACCACGTCTAACAGCTATAATTAGAACGTCGATCTCGCAAGCCATAGAAAACAAAGCAGTATGCAGCAGCACACCCCAGCAATTTGTCGCTCCATTGCCAAAGATAAGTCATGGGATTGCGTCTAGAACTAGAAGTCAATCAGATGCTTCTAACTCGTCTAAAAGAAAAGCTACATCTCCTGTAGATGGATCGGAACTTTCTGATGAAAGTCTCACCTCGTCTCAGACTGACGATCCAGAAGCAAAAAAGGGTACACGAGGCTGGAAAAAAGGCAGACCTCGTAAAACAAATAAAACCGCACTGTTTCAGTCGGAACAACCCGTTCAGAGTGATGATACAGAGCGTCCCAATCAACAGAACTCCGAAACTGAGCAGTTGTCGGAGACTGTGATACTTCTGTGATAAAATTAACTGTGAGATAAACTTATAATGTACTTTTCTTATTTACTTGTTTATTCATTAATTTATTTACTTATTTATTTGTCTATTTATATATATTTATTTATTTATTTAGTCCCTCACCTATTTGCTTATTTATCTCTCATCATCTATATACATATGTAAATATCCTTAATCTTCTCCTGAACCTTGCA